AGACGAATCAATATTCTTCTATGGGAGAACTAGCGCCGAACATCCGAATTCCAGGGGCCAGTCAAGCTTCCACGTTGGAAGTCGATCCCTTGCTACAAAGTTGCCAAAGGCCTCCAATCCATCGACGAAGTTTGGTTCATTGGTTGACATGCAGATCCAGGTGGTCGGTTCCTTTTTTCGTTGTCAAAGGACCTTGCCATTTTGATGCGAACCCCAGTGATCAATTACCCATTTAGATGTTGCAATTTCGTGGTTTGCTTCTTGTAGAGCTGCCAAACGCTGCCTTTTGATGGTCTAAAAATGAATGGAGCTTCTACAAGTGCAGAAGTGTCCTTTACAAAGTTTCTCCATCTCCATAAAGGGGTGCCAAAGGCTGCTTGTGTTTTTGTTTCTACAAATAATGCGGTAAGGCTGGAAATGCCCATTTTTGGGGGATAGCACGGATTCTCTGCTGACTTTGCCCGGATTTTCAGGGGAGAAGTTGGAACGAGAAACAAATGCCCAGAAAACAAGTTGGAACCGTGGAGAAAATGGATGCCCGCCTTCATGTCTGCTTCGTTCGTTGCTTGCGCGATCCAAGTTAGCTGGTGTTGTCTCGACCGGCTCCAGAAGCAAGTTTGCAACGCTACCGTAGCATGACTGGCAGCACTTTGTTGGTTTGAACTTTCCGCCAATGGGCGTGGCAGCCGAAGTGCTCAGAGGCCTCTGATTCCCACTGGGAGGCGCACTTGCTAGAGCGGAGTGGCTGGGAACAGATTGCCAGTAAACAACTCGCGGCTGCGTCGAAACACTGGACTGAACACAACCTTGAAACGAAGTGGAAGCATGGGCTGACAGAACTCCAGTTGCGATGGCACACGGAAAACACCTGTTGCTGTTTCTTTTGCTGCTGCAAGGCATTGGATCACGTGTTGCAAGCCATGCTACGTATTCAACGTAAAGACTGCCATGACCCAGAACCCCAGAAGCCATGCACGTCTTGTCCAAAGTTTACAACTCTGGTTGACTGCCGTTCTCTCTTGTTCCCACATATCCGGATGCTTTGAGAAAAGTTGGAACCACTTTTTCTATGCTTGTGTAATTAGTACAGTTGCGTGCGCGGCTGCGATGGTATTGCGTGTCCGTGTATTATATGTATGTTGTGCAATTCTGTGCTGCCTTTTCGTATTATGCAGGATGTTTTTGTCAATCTTCCGTTCCCTGAGATGTCACATGTTTCCTCCCTTTCTGGGTTTGGTTGAGCTAAAAGCCCAGTGGAGCACATGCTCCTTTCTCCTGATTCCTTACGCCGCTGTCATATGACAGCGGGTCCTTTCTAGTATATATGTTCAAGCCCAGCCTCCCAACCCCCCCCCCCCCCGCGACATGCCGGGCATCCCTGCAGCTAACCCGACTCTACACCCTTCAGCTAACTCCGAGCCCAGCCTAAACTCACTCAAAGCTAAATATCCCTCACACCCTTACCAACCCATCAACCTTTAAACAACCCCTCCACAGGGGAAGGGGGACACAGAATCTGGAATATCATATATTATATATATTTATATACATACATATATATATATACACATGACTTGCTTTGGGGCAGGTTAGAGGTTTGGGCAGGGCTTGCCTTAGATGTAGGCACATGAACATGGACACGCAGCCGTTGGCTTGAGCCTCATTATTTTCGAGCCCCCCCCCCCAGGAATTGCGGGGACACACTCGAGTTGCTTTCTTTCCTCTGGCTTGGCACATGCTTTGGGAGAAGCTATGAGTGCCATAAGTCTAAGGGTGTGCAGCCATCGACATCCCAAATTCATGACCTACATTGACACACGCACAGACACACACACACACACACACAGCAACAAGCAGAGCCGCACCGCGCTTCCATGACATTGTTTTCCCTCTAATGAACCCATGCTCTTTTGGGAAGACAGACGAAAGGAATACTTTCACGGATGCCCTAGAGCAACCTACCTGTACCTTCAGCCCTTGGCCAAGGGGGGGGATCCTGACACCGGATGAATCCCAAGTGGCAGGCAGGGATCGCACTGATGTTTGTGTAGCACGTTTTGTTGAGACCCTGCTCAGGTTGGTTTCAAGGGGAAAACAACGATGTTTCTTGGGTCCCCCTATTTTGACACATACTCGTGTAGAGATCGACCACCCAGAGAAGTCAGCCCCCTCTGGTGTGGATCCTGTTATTTACATTTGGTGGTGGTTTGGGTCTTCAATCGTTGTGTCCTTGTGCAGGCTGTTAGAATCATGTTTGTCAAGGGGAAGCAAAATGAAGCTTACCTGTTGTCGGGGGGCCGATCCCTACGTCCCCCCCCCCCCCCCCCGGTTACCAGAGCACCCCATAGCAAGGGTTTACTTGGGATGATTTCCCTCATGGTTTTGGGATATCTTCCATGGTAGGATTAGACCTCGAACAGGTTGGCAGTGCATTGGGGTCTTTTGCTTGCCTTTGGTTGCCTTTGAACAGGCCATTGCGAACTGGATTGAGTGCTATTTCGGCTAGGTGGAGTTTCGTTGAGTGCCATTAGGACCAGTTTTGCAATGTACAGACCCACAAGTGCCATGAGATTGGAAGCGTCAACGTGCAAGCTGGTTGCACAGCTTGCTCAACTCGAAGGACCTCTCCTGGAGCCCCAGGTCCTGAAGGACTCTCTCAGGAGTTTCTTGGGGTCCCTTCAGTCAATTTCACATCTCGACTGTCGGGTTTGGCTTGAGGCGCACAACTTTTGGGTTCAGCAATGGAGTTGCAGTGACTGGACGCCCATGCGAAGACCGTGTCATTTCTTGACGTGTGTGACTGCCATATCGCTTCCTGAAGTCTGAACACACCATCCAAAAGGTGGTCTAATTTTGGACACACCTATGTTTGGAGGTTCCCTCTTGGTTTGTAGGGCAAATTGACATCTTTGCTGCGTAACTTGGCTCAAACTGGTTGACTTCTTTTGGCTTCCCATTAAAGGCCATTTAAAAGGGGGGCCCTGTGTCCTATGGCGCGTCTTTTTGGAGGGTACTTGTTTTTGTTGTGTGAAGTCAACCCAAAAAGACGCCAGCTGTTTGGGGGTTTGCCCCCATTTGAAATCCAACCCACTTGCGATTTTTGGGTCCTCAAAACCTCCCAAAACGACTGGCAACACTCCCCTAAACTGGTAGTCCGGATTTTGAGAATGCTCCCTTAGGGTCCGAGCTTGGGATCCCAAGGGTCCATGGTGTTCGTGTGGCTGTCCTTTTGCAGAGCTTGCGCCCTCACAGCTTCAATGAAGGTCCCTCACTTGGGCACTTGTGGTCTCAGGTATGCGAGTTATCTCCTATTTTGCTCAGAGAGTACTGTTGCAACCAATTTGTTAGACGCCAACGGGTACATCAACCGGTCTCCCAGCATCTGTTCAGCCTGTTCCGAATCGATGGCCAGGCGTGGGGGAGGCGGTGGACTTGTGCGGCTTTCTTGACCCAGCCTTCTCTTCAGTGGAGGCGATCAGGTCCAAAAAAGCAGACATCCTGAAATAAGCAGTGGTTTCAAAAGGGAATACCTCAAAATTTTCTGGGACCTAGGGAGACCCATCGATTTCAAAGGTCCGGTGTCCGGAAAATTCAGGACCCCTACTCAATACCCCACAGGCGGGTTCCTTCTTTAATCAGGAAGCGTTCAAATGGTCAACTTCAACATGGAAGGATGCATAGCAGAGGAATCTTTCTTCGGGCTGACCTCGGTGTTTGCCCCAAATGGGCCGCTTGAGAGAACCTCCCAGGGAAAGGTCACAAGTCACGGGCCAAGGCCAAGGGGCTGAAAAGGAACCCGGGGCAAGCCATGGAAACTCAAGACCATCGCTTGTGTTTTTTTTTGCAGAACCCTCGCGTCTGGAGGTAAGCCCGTGTACTCAAATTGAAAGTTACACTTTTTTTTACTTGGTGGAGTACAGTTTCTTCTCGGGTAGACGGTCTTTTCCCGATTCCTTTCCATTCTTTCAACTATCGTGCTGTCTAAACATGCGATTGCTTTCTCCGGGTTTTTGGTGGTTTTGCGAAAGGAAGGATTGATGGACAGAATGAGGGGGTTAGCACACCCAGGAGTGGTTCCTGTATTCCTAAGAAAGGACCCTTTGGTTGAAGTCCTCACTTCAAGTGACTCAGCTCTGACCCCACAAAACCACCTACGGCTCACCTGCGGTTGCCTGTGGCTTCTGTTGCATGGCTTCCTCCGTGCCTCGATTCGTTGAAGTCGTCTTGGTTGGAAAAAGTGATTTTCAATTGCCGGGTGCGGCTCCCATTGGGTTCAGGACCTCCACCGGGTGCAGGATGTGGCATTCTCCGCCAACGGCGCGCCGCGCGCTGAGGTCGTTGTTTCTCCGAATGAGCAACGTCAATATTTACGACAATCGCTCCTGCTCGGATCCCCAAAGGCCCTTGTGCTGGCTTTAAAGAGTGCCAAAAAGGGCCTAAAATTTAACAACCCAAGTGGCTATGAGTTTCAAAAGGGAAGACCCTCCCTTCCATAAACATGGCACCTGACAACGCTCGCTCTACAGGAAAGCGACCTTGCATGTATCCTCCCGCCAGTGCTATTTTGTGTGGAAGGATGAGTACCGAGTACCCTCGAAAATGGTGGGTACACATGAACCCACTGTTAATGATTTTTGCCAGAGGGTCCAAAAGCAAAATGCATCCCCCGAGACTCGGTTGCCGTGCATTGTCAATGTAGGAGGGACGTGCGGCACTTGCTAGAAATTCCTTCAAAAGCCAGGACAACTCACGAATGTTCCAATGTCTCGGGTTCTCTTTTGAAACAACCCCACAGGCGCCCCCTGCAAAAGCCGCACACTCCGGTGAGTCCAACGGTGCCTCCAATCCCAGCCCTCGAGTTGTGGCTTGTTTGCTTCCCAAAGCAAAATATGTCCTCCTTTCTTCAGGCATGATTCTCACCATTGAGTCCTTTCTCGAGTGCCCTTTGGCACCCACGGGATTTTCTTGTTTCGGCAAAGTCAGCAATCAACGGTCGCTGCAGCCGTTTGCTGCGCGTGAAGAAGCCGCCGTGCCCTTCTGATTGCCCGCGATGGCGCCAAAACGAGTCGCGCCGGCGCCGAAGCGGGGCGCGGCGAAAGCTGCGCCCAAGCGAGGGGCGAAGAAGGACTGGAGCTCCCGGGCGGTGCCCTTTGTCCGGGGGTGGTTCATCTTAAGAGGCAGGAAACAAACGAACGGGGGAAGAGGCAGGGGGGAAGGGGGATCCGACTGCCCCTTAAGCAGGAGGTCATCTGCCTTGAAATGGGTCGCAGTCTTGGCCTCTTCCTTTAAAATCAACCAATCAACAAATAATGTCCTTATCTTCTCATGGCTCCTGGGCAACTTGGAGGACGATACAAATTTGGGGCCTCTAAACATGTTTGGGGCTTCCTCGGTTAGGCGAACCCACACAGTTTGAGTCTGTCTCAAAATGAGCCCCCCCCCTTTTGAAAGCTGGCTAGAACCGAAAGGGCATCCGCGTTCTGGAAATGCCTGACGCACCCACCGTCAAAACTACAGCGCGCGTCTCAAAAACCGCTAGGAGGAAGACTTGCCCGTGGCGGAGCCGGAGGTGGAGGAAGAGGAAGAAGAGCCGGACGAGCCGGAAGAGGCAGAAGTGCCGCGTTTTCGTATTTTATCTTTTATCGTATGAATCTCTCTTTGGTTCACCCGACAGGCCAAACACCCTTTTCCAAGTTGGCAGAATTAATGCGTGTTCCGGGCTCAAGCGAGCCACCGGGGCCAGCTCTAACCATACATGCTTGTGGCAAGAACACCTCTTGATTTTGTACAAGGTTTTGGGACGACTCCTTGAACACCAGGTTTGATTGTGACTACAATGTTTGTGTTTTCTCCCTTTTCGCTTATTCGACACACAGGCGGTCCTGAACAACATCCCCAGTGTTTCAGCCGCATGTGTTGTGTTTTGATTATCCAGTTCATGTTGGTTCCTTGCTCAACAACTTGGCGTTCGGTTGCTAGTGGCCACTGACCACCGGATCAAATAAGGGCAACCTCGCCAGCGTGGGGGAAAACAATGCACAATTGCACCCAAGTATAGAATTCGTTCGAGTCCAAGATATTCTTTCGTTTCAGGCGTGTGAAAGATGAGATCCTTCCAGCCAGAAGCATAGTGAGCGGCGAAGCTTTCTACTCCCCCGAAAGGGATGAATTCCAGCTTGCAAGTTAAGGATGTTGGCTGTTTGACCATACTTTCTGAAGTGAGCGTCGCTTCGGCGTTTGCAACGTCTTCCCCTTTGAAGCCTGCTAACGCAAAGGGACCCTAGTTTTGACGCACATTCTCATTAGGAAGATGTTCCAAGGCAAGATGTCAACTTCATGTTCATTTCTGATTCATCATTAAAAAACAATTTGGACTTGCGCAGAAGACGATACCTTTCAAGTCAAACGGAAGCGTTATTGGCCTTGTGAGGGAATCAGCCATTTCAAGTGTACCCAGTCTGATACGGTCCGGATGAAACTGCACAGAATGCCTCACGAAAGAGATCTGCTAGGGAACACTTTCATTCAATTTGTCTTTTCGGTGCACATTGGCCAGCTGGCGGTCTACTTTTTCCCGCCGGCAGAGTGGGGTAGCAGCTTGAGGCAGAAGAGGATGAAGAGGAGGATGAGGAGGATGTGCCGGAACCTCCAGCCAAGAAGGCGCATGTGAGAGAGACAGAGAGAGAGAAAGAGAGAGAGAGAGAGAGAGCGAGAGAGAGAGAGAAAGAGAGAAAAAAACAGAGAGAGAAAAAGAGAGAGAAAGAGAGAGAGAGAAAGAGAGAGAGAGAAAGAGAGAGAGAGAGAGCGAGAGAGAGAGAGAGAGAAAGAGAGAAAAAAGCAGAGAGAGAAAAAGAGAGAGAAAGAGAGAGAGAAAGAGAGAGAGAGAGAGAGAGCGAGAGAGAGAGAGAAAGAGAGAAAAAAACAGAGAGAGAAAAAGAGAGAGAAAGAGAGAGAGAAATGGAGAGAGAGAGAGAGAGCGAGAGAGAGAGAGAGAGAGAAAGAGAGAAAAAAACAGAGAGAGAAAAAGAGAGAGAAAGAGAGAGAGAGAAAGAGAGAGAGAGAGAGAGAGCGAGAGAGAGAGAGAGAAAGAGAGAAAAAAACAGAGAGAGAAAAAGAGAGAGAAAGAGAGAGAGAAAGAGAGAGAGAGAGAGACGAGAGAGAGAGAGAGGCGAGTCGATGAGCGAGAGAGAGGACGGAGAGAAAAAAACGAGGAGAGAAAAGCGGAGAGGGAAGAGAGATGAGAAAGAGAGGGTGAGATTGATGGAGAGGGAGAGAGAGGATGAGCGGAGAGAGAGAGAGAAAGAATGAGAAAAAAAACAGAGAGAGAAAAAGAGAGAAGATAAAAGAGAGAGGAAAGAGAGAGAGAGGTTTAGAGAGAGAGAGCGGCCGAGAGAGAGAGATGAGAGAAAGAGAGAACAAACAGGAGAGAGAAAAGAAGAGAGAAGAGACGAGAGGAAAGAGAGAGAGAGTGAGAGGAGATGAGAGGCGAGGAGGAGAGAG